CTACATCTCTTGTTTAGAGTGCCAATAGGCATTTTTATAACTAGCAACTGTATTCTAGTATAAGAAGTATTTTTGGTCGACTGATACATGACTGCAGTGCTTATACTACATCTCTTGTTTAGAGTGCCAATAGGCATTTTTATAACTAGTAACTAATTCTTAGTTGTATTCTAGTATAATGAGTATTTTTGGTCGACTGATACATGACTGCAGTGCTTATACTACATCTCTTGTTTAGAGTGCCAATAGACATTTTTATAACTAGTAACTAATTCTTAGTTGTATTCTAGTATAATGAGTATTTTTGGTCGACTGATACATGACTGCAGTGCTTATACTACATCTCTTGGCATCTTACTTAAATTGTTCTTGACATATACTTTAAGAAGTAGATTTTGATAAAAACAAATGTTTAAAGTTATTAAAATAATACATCATAACAGTTCATTACATGAGAAAATCACACATTTTCTATGGCAAATCTTTGGAACTGTTTCTTAGTAGAACCAGTTCTTGTAAGAAAAATGATAAAAACTGTTTATTATTCTTCATAGCTTTTTACTTTCAACTAAACCTAACAAATATTCACTATGGAAAACTAATTTTTATATGATTGTTGCTTCAACATTTTCTAAACCTACAGTGATTAAAGACTAACATTTTCTAGGATGCACACACAGTTTTTAATATAAGATGTAGTTCAGTAACTCTTTTCTTAAAGTAATGTTGTTTTTCTCTTCAGATGTAAAAAGGAAAAAGTCAGAAAGGAAGATTTCTTCAATGACAGGTATTTATACAGTATACAATCCTTTGTGACAAGTGAAATCTCTTACAAGTTACAAGGAAAAGTCAGAAAGGAAGATTTCTTCAATGACTGGTATTTATACAGTATACAATCCTTTGTGACAAGTGAAATCTCTTACAAGTTACAAGGAAAAGTCAGAAAGGAAGATTTCTTCAATGACTAGTATTTATATAGTATACAATCCTTTGTGACAAGTGAAATCTCTTACAAGTTACAAGAAAAAGTTGGAAAGGAAGATTTCTTCAATAACTAGTATTTATACAGTATACAATCCTTTGTGACAAGTGAAATCTCTTACAAATTACAAGGAAAAGTCAGAAAGGAAGATTTCTTCAATGACTAGTATTTATACAGTATACAATCCTTTGTGACAAGTGAAATCTCTTACAAATTACAAGGAAAAGTCAGAAAGGAAGATTTCTTCAATAACTAGTATTTATATAGTATACAATCCTTTGTGACAAGTGAAATCTCTTACAAATTACAAGGAAAAGTCAGAAAGGAAGATTTCTTCAATGACTAGTATTTATATAGTATAAAATATTTTTATCACTAGTAAAATCACTTACAAGTTACAATATTCAGCATTAACTATTAACTTTAAGTAATAATAAAAAAATATCTTACCAGAATCACTCATGCCAAGTCTTATCACTTTTCTTTTTTTAATAGCTGGTTCTGGATTTCCTATAACAATCATACACATAAAGAAGTGTATACAAAGTCCTATACAATATTTGTTATCAAAATGTGATTAAATCCATAATTTTTACCAGTCTGATCATTTGTCTCTCTTTTCTTTTTTTACAACCTGTTTTTGGATTATCTATTACAAACATGTACAGATACAAATATCATAACGTTAATGTGTAAAAAGCAATCAGTAAGTTCTAGATGATATAACCTGTTACTTGTAAAATGTATGAATTAATAGAACAGTATGTTAGCTTTCCTTTAAACACATTTTATACCAAAATTATAAATTAAGATATTTTAATTTAACCTTTTCCCATTGGGCTCGTGTAATTTGCAGAAATCGAGTTGCAAATTTCACTTGTACAAGAATACATGCAATAACTCTGAAATTTCTTAACGTATCCTCTTTATAATGGTAAGACTTTGTTAAAGATCATAAGTATCTTGTACACAAAGAATGACATAATGAATAAGTGATTTTACTAAAAACATGTTACTTATTATTGTAGTTACTTGCACTAAACTCTTAAAAAATCAAATGACAGATGATTTTTATTTTAAGTATAAAAAATAATTTTCTTCATATTATAGTTTTTATATTTTATTGGCATAATATCTAGAACCTCCTGAAAGAATATCAAAAGTTTTTTAAGGTAAATGTTTATATTTTATTTTCTTTACCATATCACTAACTCTAGCTTTATCATCAATGTACAAAGCAAAGAAATAATTAAAATTAGGAAACAGAACAATACATAATTCTTAATTATTTGTAGAATATTTTTAAAGATTTTTCTTTTGTTAAATTTGTAATTTCAGGTTTTTTTCCTTTTCACTTATAGTTAATTTTTAACATTTTATTTTCCTTTCTTGTCCTTTACCATTATTATTCATCTCGACACATGTCAATGGTGCCCTCAATGTATATTACAGTGTCTCTAGCAGACATGCGCAACCCTTCAGCAAAATTCTCATGCACTGAAGCCTTGAGAACTGAATATTTAAACCTTTCAATTATGCATTTTAAAATATAACTAATACATAATTATATAAATTTAAAAGTGAGACCTAAATACAATTTAAACTGTATCTCTAACTATAACATATTTAGGAAAGAAAAGACCAGAAGTGCAAAAGTCAATCAAGCAGCCAACAATACTACAGTCAGTTACATGTACTCCAATTGTAGTTGTGTAGATGTACGTCTAGAATCTAGACTGCTTACGTAACCTTTTGACTTGTACATTTCAAAGACCTCTGAATGAATACAGTTGGAACAAGTAATAAAGTTTTTCAACCCCTGACAGGTGCCACACTCACCTTTAACAGATTTGAGTTTTGTAGCCTACATGCAGATGTTACATACACATGTGTATAGTCATTAGAAAGAGCTCATTTTGCATTATTATTTTTGAAATTGGTGCACAGTTGTTGTCACAAGAATTGTGAACTTTGAACAGTAAATGCAGTTAACCCTTTAAATGCTTTTCTGTGCTACTCACTCTGTTACATTTAAAATTTTATTAAACACCTTTACTATCACTGTATGTGAATGAAATTAACATTATAATATATGTTATCATTCAAAGTTTTATGTTATCTAAGTTTTAATTCCTATATTTCAAGAGAATCCTTTAAAAACTACTTAAAACTTCAGATGTGATCAATGAGCTATGAAAATTCTCTACTTTTGCACTATGTATGTTGAATAATACGTAATGCCTGTGAAATTAAGATAATTACTAATGCCAAGCCTAAATCAGTCTAGTCATATTTTGAAGTTTGAATCTTAATTTATCTAACCATCTCTTGAATGTGTCCTACATTTCATACATGATATTTATAGAAGCAATTTCCAAACAGTTTTCAACATTATATATAACTATATTAATAGAAGCAACAAACTGATTTCAGTATGAAACATTTCATCCATCAAAATACAAAACAAAAACATTTGTACAAAAATATTGATGCACAATTTTCATATTATATAGATAATTATAAGTTACTTTATTAATTCCATATATAATTAATTGTACAGACTGTATGTACACAAACAGTCGTAACTTTAAAATATCAAACCTGACCAAAACACTGAGCTTGTATTGTATCTTGAATGAAAGTACCCTTTATGTGACTAACATATTACAGTTTCTGAATTTTCTGACAAATCAAATTCTACAACGAACAAAATGCAACTTATGCCTGTAAAATTCTGTTGTGCTAAAAACTTTATTGTTGACATTTTTAGATGAATTCCCTCCCCCATAAATTTATTAAAGACATTGAAATACAATGTATAATGTGTACACATGATTGTATTTGTATACATTACGGTTTCCTCTCAAACAATATCACCTGAACCAAAAACTTTTAAGCCAAATGAGCAATGTTTCCATCATTCTACTAAAAAATCCTCACACTCACCTGGGTCTCCAAGTGGCTCTGAACTTTTGCGTTTTTGCTTTAAGTGTTTTCTTAAGTCTCCACATCCAGGAACATTCTCTACTATTTAAAGTAATGAGAATGTGTTAGGTTAAGAAATAGTCTCTACTACATAATGAATATATGGTAGCTCAAGAAAACTGATATAAAGTTCAGACAATTATCTAACTCCACTTATCTGGGGAACAAATGTTTTTGTATTAAGATTTTAAACAGAACACTTAGCATATCTTTTACACTCTATAAATCTGTTCATCACATGCTATTTCACTTAAATTGATTCGATTGTTAAATTATTGTTGCACTGATTGTAAATATTCATCTGTGTATTGAATCAGCAGAGCCTTGTGCAAGTTTTAATACTAGCGCAAAAGTATGAAATCATAGACAATGTTATTCAAAATATTTGTGATTTTTATGGTTTGAATTTATAATTTTAAGCATGTATCAAAATCATTTGTTTTTGAACAAACAAAAGGGAAAGAAAGAAGTACAAATATATCTACCATTTACACACTGAAGCTGTAATGAACCAGTCTGCTCAAGTTCCTCTAATTCTGTAGAAAGAATTATTCAACTTTTACTAGTACAAGTATTTACATAAATGGTAAAAACAGCAATATAATTTTATCTTAGTTTCTGTTTATAAGAAGTTAAAAATTAAATAAGGGCCTATAGAATTTCTGAATGGATTACACTGCTAAATAACTTCCAAAATACTTGGCATATACACATCTATAAATGAACATGCTGGTAACCACATCTCCATTATCTACCAATTTTAAACCTTCATTAAATTCAAAATGTTTATCATTTCCATAACTTTCTGATACTAAATAATGATTATCTATACACAGATAAATATTCAACAATAAATTTGATAGTTGGAGACACAAATAAACAGATCAGGGACAAAAAAAGGTCATATACGTGGTCTTTAACATGTTAACTGCTACAATTCTTGGCATCATCTATGACAAGAGTTTTAGTGCAATAATTTTGTGTTTTCAATTTAAATAATAGCAATAATAACAAATATAAAGTGTGTAATTTTTACAATTTTTGTATATTTACAATGCACATGTGCATTGTGAGCACATGCATACAAACACTAAATGAGCATGTGCGTTCTCAGAAGTGAACGTGTTAAACTACATATTTTCATGTTAAATTTGCTTGTGTTTTATTTCTGATTTCTAAGATAACTTGCCGACAATGCATGAAACAAAGTCATATTTCCACTTCTGACAAGCTTCATTCACTTTGTTTTATCTGTTTAGATTTTTAAATAAATGTTTTAACCTTCAAAGAATACCTCTTCCTCACGAAATTAAGCTTGACACACATAAAAAATCAATTTTGAAAATAATTCTAGTTTTTAATATGGAAGAGTTACAGACTTGCTGTGCATTTTTCCTGCTTGTTAATTTTGTGGAGAAGGAAAAAAAAGAAGTAAGTAAAGAAATAAATAAAAAAGAAATAAAAATGCAACTACAAAACAAATATCCAGTTACATTTACACTTTATATATATATATATATATATTTACATCTTTAAAGAGATGTAGTTATTACCAGATCTAACACACATCTGCTATTTATAAGTCATTATGAGTAGTCTGATTTAATTTCATTAATTATGTAGTAATATTTGGTTCTACCATTATGCTTGTGTTACACAGTAGAAATGTGAGTATAATATGAAGTTAGTACTGATAGCATATTAACTTATGCAAGTTCCTAGTTATTTGTAATTATTCAATGAATTTTTCATACTTTCCAAAGTAAACATTCTTGCAAGATCTTAAGAAATTCTAGAACAACAAATCGCTAAAGGTTACACATCAATCAATGCCGTTTCCCTACCCGTCTTGTAAAACTTCTCTGACTCTTTATGCATTTTTTCCATTCGAATCTGTTCCAATGTTTTCACCCTTACATCATTTTCTACATCTGTAAGATAATATATGCACATACATCCAACAGCATTATAAAACCATACCAAACAAAAAGAATCTGTTTTAATTCTTTTCATTATGAAAATATCATAATACTTGTACATCAGCTTAAACATCAATCACTGTTCTCTAAAAGCTCAGTAATAATGAAAGATTATGGTGAACAAAATAATATTTATCTTGAATACAGACTGCATTATCTTTAAATCATGTTTCCAGAGTTGAAAGATTAATGGAATAAAGCATTCTCAAAGTCATTAAATTTAGATTTAATCTCATACACTCTTTTAAAAATAGAAATATATGCATTTTATCCTACTATTTTTTATGTCAGATCTCTTTTAAAAAGGAACAATAACAGTGTTTGAAAAGTATATAAAACAGTAGGAAAACCCTTTTAACATACTCAAAAAAAAGACATTAAGGTTTTTAAAAAAGAAGCAATTTTAAGACATACATACCTCCCTCAGGACTAAAATTTACCGTTCTACTTGCATTAGGCCTAGTTACATTTCCAAAATTCACGGTTCGTTGAAAAAATGGAGAACTTTTCAGTGGGGTACTATTGCAGCTTTCGTTGTCTGACTCTGAACAAAAAAATTAAAATGTAAGTTGAAAGGAAATTACAAATTTAAACTGCTTACAATAAAATGTTTGATGATGTTATTTTTGCTTTTTCTTTACAATACATTTTTATAATCCTGTTTTTCCTTCTCTGAAATTTTTATTAATTAATTATTAATTAAATATTAATTCTTAGTCAATAAATAATAAAGAAAACAAAAATACCAAAAAAACAAAAGCAACAAATATTAAAAGATTTTCCAAAAATATATGGATAATATAAAAAAATAACTCGCAGACACAAGAAAATGGACCTTCATTTTACTTCCATTGTTGAGACCACGTGTGCTTCATTTTTCACTTTTAAAACCTATTGTTGACCCCCCCCAATTAAATTTTCTCCCACTAGATATTTCAACTACTTCTAGACAGGTTAACATGAGTATCACATTACACATTATAAATTTTTTCATGGTACATTTTATAATATCACAGATAATATGAGTATCGTGAAGAGCAACACATGCGACTAGTTTTAATCTAGTAATGTTAATTGTATTGTATTTGCAACTTTCTGAAGTTACTTTATATCCTGGAGTTTTAAACTAAAAGCAAAACAATGTTGTTTAGTCATATTTACTGCAGTAAATAGAATTCTCTCTGAAAATCCTGATATGTCTGGCATCATAAATGTTTTAAACAGAATATTTCTACATATGCTGAGCCCCCCACCCCATAGCATTTTCCTTACCCCAGCTTGGAAAACACTATTTTAGACAGTTTGTCTAGAACACAGATTAAACAAGTGCTCGTCCACTGTAGTCTTCTATGTAGTACAAGAAAATCTTTAAAAAGATTTAACCTAATCAGTGTCAAATAGTTACTCTGTAATTTACATCTTTAGCTCTTTATACGGGGTTAAATAAACAACTTGATTATCATTTTACTTATGTAGCAACTGTAAATTATATTAATTTTCTGGGGGGCATGCCCCTAGACTAGACCCCCAGACTGAGCTGCTTTTGGCAGCACAGGAACTGTTTTTAGCAGCTTCTTATACTTTCAATCTCTCATTGTAAAAACCTGAATGTCGAGCCAAGCACCCAACTTTGCAACTCCCTCCTATACCACTGATTATATATATTAACACACATACATAGATACGTTTAATTGTGCCACATGAGTTTATACCTGTTATGTTAATGCAAAGAAAGAAACAGCATCTTAATTTTAGTAAATGTATTACTGATAATTACAACACAAATACAAATATAGAGAGATTAGTCACGAAGTATGTAAAATGCTTTGGTTAATCACAGTCATATTTACACTTGTATTTGTAATATTTGTTTGACCACTAACTGTTATGCTATTTGCCAATAGTTCCACATACGTTAACACGCCAGTTTTAATAGTCTTATTTTAGAAGCAAAAATTGATATGGTGGTTTCATTCTCACTGGTGAAAACTTTGTGAATGACATATTATGAATTACACACGTTTCATTTTGAACTCTGGTAGTATATATTTAAAGTAAATCACACAAAAAATTACTTTTTGGAATATTAAGGTTTAATCTAGATTTTTGAATACTGTTTTCACTACTTTGAGAGCAAAAAGACAATAAACTTACTGATCTTAAAGGAAAGTTAAACCAAGAAGAAAATGCTACCTAAAGAGCTACATTCCTTTCTTTTAAGTTAGTAATAATGGATTTATTATATGTGCAAGAACATCTCGTAACTTCATCTTTAAACTGCCATATATAACGGGTGATCACGTGTTCTACAAACAAGTAATTAATATTCTAAAACAAGTTACTTAAAAGAAGCTAAAAGTATTAACCACAATAAAAATAATTATTTTAGACAATTTCTTCCAGCATCTTGACCAGTACTGTTAATGTCTTTTGCCACTAAATGACATCAGAATGTCAGGTCAAGTATTAATGAACTATTTTGCTTGAGCTAACTTGACCATTTATTTTGAAGAGGCAGGAAGATCTTAGAGATATCATCGATTGACTTTTGAGGATGAAAAAAACAACATTTTTCACTTGGATAAATTTTGGTGACTTACTCAACACTGATTGTCAACAACAATATTTTTTGCATTCCTTTCATATATTTCTTATATAATATTAATGGTTTAAGATGAAAGGAAAATATCACAATGTGTTAAGTTTAATTTATTTCCAATTTTTCCAAAGACTAAAATGAAAGTTACAAAAGTAGGGATAATGTTTGGGGAAATAAAGAAGGACCTAATTTTTTGTAAAACACATGTAAACTGAACTGTTTTGGAAACAAAGATAAGAGTAGTAGTAATCCAAAAAAAGTATAGCTTCTTCATCAATTTTACAGTCAAATGATAGATATGTCCTTTTAATGAGTTTGATTATGGGTTACAACTGATCAGCTCACCCATTCTTGCACAATAAAACAGACTGAAGTATAAAAGATAAGGTAAGGCTTGTATACATACTTACAAAATCTTGAAATGTTGACAAGCATGTATTTTTAAAATTTAGCAATTAAATTAAGTCAGAAAAAAAACCATATTAAACAGAAATACACACTTCAAATAGTATATTTTGTATTCTGAGTTGATTGATAAGTTTAACTTTTAAACCCCTAGACAGGCAACCTTCACCAAACCAAGCAGAAAACATTTAGTAAAGAATCTATTGGTAAGTAAATTCTTCAACTGAATTCACTAACAAGAGATCTGAATCCTAATTTCTAAAACAGTGAGGCTGTTTTATCCAAATTTTTGATCCTATATGCATGAAATATTAAAAAATGTTTTAAGTGTGCAATATTGTTGATGTGCTTAGATGAAAATCTATGGCTGTGGTATGGCATCTTTTTCTTTTTCACTTCTAACAGTCTTTTTGCATGAAATATGGAGGTAGTCACCAACTGATGGTGTGTGTGTGTGTGTGTTTGTATGTATGGACTGCCTATTCATTGTTACATCATAAATATGCTATGGTTTACTGAGCTCTGTGACATTACACTATAGTATTACATGGATGACATGTTTTATTGGATTGATATGTGGGCTGTCCTTGTGTTGTGTGATTGACCAATGTCCTGACCTCGACCTTAGTGAAGAGGTTTCTAAATGTTTGATGAAGAAGCTATTGTACATGCTACTTAATTCTGTGTTTTTCTATTAAGAATATAAGAACCTGAATGGTACTATAGTTAGCTCACTTATATATGGAAAATATGTATGATATGCACGGCAAGCATCAATCTCGAAATGAACCAGCAGTAACAGATTTGCTGGCATGCCCAGCATCAACACCCAGAATAATACAGCTGTCAGACTTTAAAATAGGACAGAACCAGATCCATTTGAATAAAAACAAGGTTGAATATTTGGTATGACTAATGGGATGCCACAGTCAGTTTCTAAATCCTACAACAGATGACAGTTCTGAATGCTCCAGTGTGATATAACATCAATGATCATTATTGATACAGCTACAGTTGAATGTAATCCTGTACAGTCTGTCATCACTGATCCTATAAGTGAAAATTGAAAGCATGCAGAATCTCACACAAAACTACTAACTTGGGCTGCATAAAACTCTCTGATCAGCAATGTGAAACCCAAAACTAAGCTTATAGTTGTAGCCTCCATTATCAAATGTCCCCTTTGACAGTGTAGTTAGACCCAATATGTCTACAGTTATAAACATGGACCCGCAACTGTACGAGAAATTACAGGAGCTGATATCTCGTGATGACATGAAGGGAAAGTTTGTACTTTGGATAGGAGAGATTCATACAATCTTTTCTGCCCTTAAAGCACTTGGAAAGTACATTAAAGGTAGTGAAATAGACTAGGGCTAGGTTGAACCAGGCATGTACTCACTGACAACTGTCAGACAAATATTAACAAGCATGCACTTGTACTGATGAATGGTAGCCCACAAGGTGACACAATTAGAACTCAATGAAGTCCTTTTGCTAGAGGTGTGGAAAGGATATGTTGATGAGAACTCAACACGTCCTTCTTTGCTCGTGACCACCTGAACTATGCTAGGTTGAGTCCAATCTATCGTGCAGAAATGTAGAAGCTTGAAAGCACCAGTCCTGCCATAGGGTATACCCTGTAGTGATGTGACTTTAGTGTAAACAATAAAGATACCTCATTCTGCCCCATTGGCTCCAACCATGGGTTAGAAAATGAAATCTGAGGCATGAAAGTACTTGGGGGAATCAGTACTGCTTTCTTGAGGTCAGTCTTTGAATGGCTTTTTAAAACAATTATAAATCCTGCTAAGACATTTATATCTTCTTACAGCTCTAGATCTTGTCCTTTAACTTTGTTTTGTTGGTTGCATAGGTGGTTTTGTAAAGCTTTAAAGATGCCTTCTTTGTCAGAAAAATATGTTTTAATTTGAAGATCTTTTAAGAGAAAGTCCCTCTTGTACTGTCGTTAAGACTTCTTTTTTTTTTAACAGAGTTTAAGTTCTAGCTTTTAGTTTCGGTCCCTACAACACGCAAGTAACCAACACTGCTTTGCAGAGACCGTTTTTGATCTTTTGTGCTTTGGTTCACATTCAAAATCTGTTGTTGGTATGTAAAAACTAGAATGCTCTTGACGTGTTAAATCTCTGGGTGCTATCACGTGCTTGTTGTTCAAGATTGATACTGGCATTACAGCTTTTGTCTTGAGATTCACAACCTCATTTGTTTGGTCAGCAAAGGGGGGATTCCCTGTTTCAGAATAATGTCTTTCATGGTGGAGGTATGTGTGAAAATTCAGCATTGTTTTAAACCTGGGAGTTCATGGTGCTTTGGTCTTGGCTGAGCATCCCTCACACCTCTAATCAGTCCAAATTCTTTAACAAGTGTTGGAAGATCTGGTGCAATCAGGAAAAGCTTGTCAAGTTATATCTCTCATTGAGTAATGCCGGTAAAGTATGAGTTCTCTGTTGGTCAAGATCCCTCTCTGCTGCAAATGGGAGTATGCTGCTAGCCTATGACAAGTTGAAGGTCATGCCAAACCTACACAAAACCCAGAAGATGTCCTACACTCCAACATGGATGAATCTGTCACTTCAGGAGACTGGGTTCAAGAAAGCAGTGGTAAAGTATGAGTTCTCTGTTGCTCAAGATCCCTCTCTGCTGCAGATGGGAGTATGCTGCTAGCCTATGACAAGTTGAAGGTCATGCCAAACCTACACAAAACCCAGAAGATGTCCTACACTCCAACATGGATGAATCTGTCACTTCAGGAGACTGGGTTCAAGATCTGAATGAAAACCATAATACAGAACAAATGAAGACATGCATTGACTTTGCAAAGGCCTTCATGGAAAATGTTGTACACGCATCATCGAGCTAGGATGAAGTGAGACTAATATTTGATTGTTATGTAGAGAGTTCTTTGGAGGAGGAGAAAAGGAAAAAGTGCACAGGAGTTGGTAGAATAAAGTACCATGTTGATGACACTACTAATCTCAAATGTGTTTCTCTGAAGCATTTTCTGCCTCACAGAGTTAACAAGATACCTGGCTGATAAGACCCGGTAGCACTTCTCACTACACAACGAAACAAACTCTGTGGTATTTTTTGGTATAATAACAAAAGAAATTGTGGGAAACTTGCTGAGCAACTGCAACAATATGGACAGGAGGAAGCTGACACATTGATAATTCTCAATGCCTTGAATGTCAGAAATATTTGTCCAAGTGCACATCTGGACATATCTTCATCCAAAACAGATACCCCTCTTCTACCTGTGTACTTATACCCACAACTGTGTCCAAACAACTGACTTCTGATTGGTTGGGTTGCATCCAAGACATCTAAATCAAGCCCATGTATCAGGACCTTGGTGTGGAGAAAGCCAAAGTTGTATTAGGATTACATACTTCAACTGGAGTAGACACAACCAGATTCTCTAGAAAGACAAAAAACACTTGTTTCAAGACGTTTCTTATTTCTAACATGCAGACTCTTTGTGCTTTGCAGAGTTTGGCCCATGAGTAAGGGCATCCTCGTAAT